CTATATATATATATATATATATATATATATATATATATATATATATATATATATATATATATATATATATATATATATATATATATATATATATATATATATATATATATATATATATATATATATATATATATATATATATATATTGGCACACCGAATTTTACCCTGGTTCACCACAACTTGTGGCTAGTCCAGCCTTCCGAGAGACTCTCTCAAGCTACACTACTATCTCGTTAAGCTTAACGGTGCTTAACAAACCCATACAACTTGAGAATTCGAGTCACACGAACCTCAACGAATCCTTCAAAGGAAACAGCCCTTCCTTTGAATCAAACGAGAGAAATACTTTCTCTCTACGTGTCTAAGAAAACAAATACACTCAAGAACGAGAATCTCTTTTAGTGTAGATATTGAGTAAACTAAGTACGCTCAAGAACAACTCAAACTTCACACGAATTGGCTTTAAAAAGCTATGGAAAAGAATGTTGTTTGAATGCAATGAAAGTATGAGAATTGTGAAGTGAATTAATGAGAATGGCAGACCCAAACACCCCTTTTTATAGTGCCAAAATAGGCTCCAATGGACCAATACATTAAAGAGGTGATTGGCTTGATTTATGGGATTGATTAAAATTTGGATCTGCAGGATATTGGCCTCCCAGCGATGTATGGACCTTACCCATCGCTGGTAGGCCAAATTTCCTTCAGTTTTGAAGCCAACGGTCACCTACCCATCAATGGGTACAAGCTTCCCATCGCTGGGTGGGAGGTTGACTTCCAAACAAGGAAAGAATCAACCTTAAATGACTTCCAACGGTCATGCCTTCCCAGCGATGGTTAAGCCTTTCCATCACTGGGTTCCCATCGATGGGGTAAAGTCCCCATCGATGGGTAAGGTCGTTCTGCCTTGTATTGATGTTGGACCAAGGCTTTAACAGCGATGGGTAGAACTTCCCATCGTTGTTTGGCATGGTTCTGGAACTTGGTTGGGCTAAAGAACCACTTACCCATCGATGGGTAAATCTTCCCATCGCTGGGTGGATGGTTAGTCAAAAACCTATGGTTCTTGCCTTAACCACGGCCTAGCCAATCGATGCAAAAATCAACCGAAAAATCCAAGTTTTTCCAAAATAAAAACCAAGTGTTTAAAACACTTATTTGATTTATTTGGCTAGGAAATCAAGTGAGACACTTTAAAAACTACGTCATTTGGGTAAAAACCACGGCTAGCCAAGTTTATGCCGTTTTACGTGGTTTTTCGCAAACGACCAAAAACGAAAGGTGGTTTTCAAGGTGTTTTTGTTGGACAACTGTTTAAACATGCCAAAGAGTAAAACCAATCATAAAATGTTGGAAACCACTTGGTTGGTTCAGACGCCAAAAACCAATGCCGATAGGCGAATGCCGAATGCCGGTTTCTGAAAGCCGAACGCCAGATGGCTTGGTTTTTGGTTTGGGCGAACACCAAGTGTTTTTGATGACTTAAACATGTTGTTAGAATAAGTGACCAATGCTATAGGGGGGGTGAATAGCGTTTGATCGTAGAAATCGCAGGAATAAAAAAAACTTAAAAGAGAACTAAAGAGAAGAGTAAGAGGCACACCGAATTTTACCCTGGTTCACCACAACTTGTGGCTAATCCAGCCTCCCGAGAGACTCTCTCGAGCTACACTACTTCTGTTAAGCTTACGGGTGCTTAACAAACCGTTACAACCTGAGAACTTGAGTCCCACGAGCCTCAACAACACTTGCTCGGAGATACCGCACTCCAAGACTTCAACCCGAAGGAAAATACCTTTCCTTCGTACAACCAAGGGAAACAAGCTTCCCTTAACGTGTATACAACACTAAGACACTCAAGAACAAGACTCTCTTTAAGAGTAGATGTTGAGTAAACTATATACGCTCAAGAACAACTCAAACTTCACAAATTGGCTCTAGAAAGCTATGGAAAATAATGTTGTTTGGATGCAATGATAATATGAATAAAGTGAAGTGAATTGATGAGAAAAGCAGACCCAAACACCCCTTTTTATAGTGCCAAAATAGGCTCCAACGGACCAAT